CCTCCAGCAACCGCCACTGTTTTAGCTATAAACTTGTTAACTTGCAGAAGCCTGAGGACCAGAGTTTTAAGTGAGCTTGTGTTCTCATATTGGGTTACATTTGTTCTTTCTGCAAAAACACATAGCATAAACAGCAGCAAACCCATTATAATAAAAACCAGACAATTGAAAAATGAAAATTCATATAAAGCTTCAATAGATACCAATGAGACCCTGAACATTTACATTTCATAGATCTGTTCATTATGCTGTCTTTCTGGCATTTTATGGTTATTGTAGGTAAGAGGTAAGACCCTTTGGTGAATCTGCCAACCTACAGTATCTGTTCTTATTGCTTGTCTAGGGGGTTGTAAAGAACATCATAATGTTCTGTTTTCTGTCTTATAAAAATATGTATTTGGTAGCTTTCGGGACCTTTCTGAATCTTTTCTCTGGATGTCTACCTGGATGTGATTATATAGTCATGAAATTGTCATGTGTGGCTGTTTGAAGCAAATTTATTAGGTTAACTATACCTCATGTTTCTTTACTGATGATCATTTATTCACCAAACATTATTGAGGGATTTGTGTGTGCCCAGCACAGTGCTAAGATCAAGGGTACAAAGGGACAAGTCCTGCAAGGAAGAGAGACACATGCATGGACAACTCTAAGGTGATGTGAGAACAATGTGCATGGGGTTATTGCCAGAGGAGAGAGGGACTCCTTTTTGCCAGAAGGTGCCTGGGAAAGATTCTTAGCAGAATTGATGGTTCGTGACATGAGTCATGAAAGTTCAATAAGAGTGTGTAGGTGGAGAAGGGACTGGAGATGAAGAAAGTCAAGACAGAGATGCACTGAGGCGGAAGGGAATTAACATTTGTTAAGTGCCTTCTGGGTGCAGGCACTGCATGTCAGCTAATCAATCCTGTAAGGTCTCTTTCCTCTCTATCCTCTCATTGACCAGGGGAAACTCAGTCTCAGAAAGGTTGCATGACCTGCCCAAGGTCTCAGAGTTACCACTTGGAGGACTCAGGATTCGCACCCAGGTTTGGTGACTCTGGAGACCATACTCTGTCAGTAGCATGAGGCTGAGGAAACAGCTTGTCTGTCTTCTTGGGGGAGTGATGGGTTGATTGGCTGGAGTGTGGTGTACTTTGTAGGAAAGAAGCAGAAATGAGGGTAAAAATGGAGAATGGGGCCAGTTGGTGTGGGTGTTTGAGAATACCAGCGAGGGTTTGTAAGCGGATACGAAAGCTCAGATTTATCTTTTAGGAAGAGAACTCTGGCCACCTTGTTTGGGCTGGAGGGAGCTGGGTAAGACTGCGGACAGGGTTGTAGAGTTACCCTCACTGCACTTAGATGTTCAAAAACATTTTTTTCCTTAAAGTTGACCAGACTTTCTCCTTAAGACCCCTTCCCCACTTAGTAAGTGGAGAAAAGAACCTGCATTTAGCTGAGAGTAGTAAATTCAGTCTGCTCCAATCATGTAAAAAGTAATGCATTCTCTCTTCTGTGCCTCACGAAGATGGTGTCTCAGTAAGTGGGGAGTCCCGTGCCCTTGAGGTTGTATGTGTGTGTTTATCAGAGGTTGGGGTGCGGTCCTTGCTGGTGCTGACTGAGGTCTGGTGTTGTTCTGGCTCTGCCTTGGTCATCTGTTGCTAAAGTGTATGGCTGCTGTAACTTGCAGTCATGCTCTCTCAGGTCAGTCAGGGTCCAGGTGTCCGTTTTGCTTACACGGCCACACCTTGGCTCTTACTGGGGCTGCATAGCCCACCCCACCCCTCCGTGAGGTCTGATAGCCCCCTTCCCTCTACAGCCCTCCATGGTACCCTCAGGGACATCACACCACTTGAATACTCGGGGGGCTCTGGATAGCTAAACTCAAAACTTAGGCCCTGTCTTTACCTAACCGCTGTGACACAGTCTTACTGATTTACATGATACAGTCATTACCCATGGGGTCACCCCCCCACGTTGTCATGAGGGTGGGAGTGGGGCAAGAGAACATCACGTGAGATGACATCCTCTGTTGCTCCAAAAGGAAAGTGGTATGGAAGTTCCTCGGCTTTTGGCTTTGTCATCAACCCTTCTAGGTCCTCAATCTTCTCTGAGATTTTAGGCTCAAGTGGGGAGAAGCTGTACCATATGTGTCTCTGCTGCCTTCCGCCTTCTTACCCACATCCACCACTACTTCTCTTCCACATTTCTTCTTGTGTTCACAACTCACTGGGACCTCCCCTAGGTCATCCAGTCCTACTTCCAGAGAGGCCATTAACCTCCCACTTTGGGCTGTAATAGCAGCTGAGATGTAACGAAGGAGAGAGACCAACTATAAGATAAAGCAGTCTCAGTTGGAAAGTATTTCAAAGTTGTCATATCTGTCATTTTCATCTGTGATAAAGCTGTTACAGTAATCTAGGTGAGGGATAATAAAAGCCAGAAGAGAGTCTCAGGAGGGAGCATTGGTGACACCCAATGTGGGGCTGATAAGAGGGAGAAGTTGAGGGTGGCTTTGGGGTTCCTAGCTGGGACAACTGTTGGACAAAGACGTACTTGACAGAGAAAACACAAGTGGAGAAGGAATAGCTGCGAGGGCAGCAGGTACAAGGAGGAGCATTAGGAGGTGGGAGGGAGGGAGGGAAGGTAATGAGTGAGTTCAGGTTTAGACTTGATTGAAATGCTGGCTAATGGCACAAATATGGGGGCGGGCACTGGGAGAGCATCTGCCTGGAAAAATGTATTTGGGAATAGGTGAACCTATCCAAGGAGAAAAAGAAGGGAAGCTCACTGCCATTGTAGATGTTGAATTTAAAGACATAAACAAGGTCATCACTGTTTTAATTCTTCCTTGCACTTCACGATGACCCAGTACTTTGGAACTTCCCCTTCTAGTTTCCTGCAGTGGGGCAGGTCAGAGGTCACAGAGTACCATCAAGGGTGTCTGCTGATGCTTTTGATCGCCAAGGGGACCCCTAAAGCCCCAGGTCTGACACATAGATCCGTGGTATACTGAGTTCATATCAGAATGAGGCCAGAATACACAAAGAAAACTTTTTGATGAATGGCTTAAGTTGAATAATTTGCAGGTACATGTAGAGGCAGTGTTTGAGTATTTGTGGTTGAGCTGAATCTGAACTCCTGGAAACGTAACCAGTACTTCTCAAAACTTTTTCCATCATTGTCACGCCTGAGACATAGTCTAACCTTTGGATGTACTCTGCTAATATAATTACCTTGCTGTCTTTTAAAGGTGGCTTTTAATTGGGTTCCCGAGCAGCAGCTGCTGTTGAGGTGCTGGTTGCAGCCTTTCAATATCAGGTTCATTAAATGTTTCCTCTTCCTGGACGGGGCATCTGGCCTTTGGCTGGTAACCAGCTGTTGCTGAAATGCCATCACTTATAGGATTGCCCTTTAAGCCACTGATCTGTTATTTTGTTGAGTTTCGACTCCTTTCCTCTCAAATTTAAATGGAGCTTTATTGAATACAGTGCTAAAGTCAATTCTTCCCATTCTTAGTGGCCTTTTCATCAGATTATTTCCCCCTAGTTCATAGCATTTAGTCCTCTGGCTGTTCGAGAGGTTTAAGAATTAAAGACAGCTTGTCATTTACGGGGCTAAGGACTGTCCTTGGGGAGTTGCGGTGGATTATCTCACAGACATGTCCTCCGTTGGCTGATGGTTTATGCCAAGTAACACGAGGTCTCTTAGCCAGTTTTTTTCCTTTTTTGTAAAAATGTGCCAAAAATTCTAGGATCTTTAAGAATTTATCTCTAGGATTATTGTCCTGAAGGTTTTTTAATTGAAGTGATAGTTGATTTACAATATTATGTTAGTTTTGGTGTATATCATAGTGATTCAATGTTTTTTATAGACTAAAAGCTTTTGTCCTGAAGGTTTTTAATTCATTTGAAGAAAATGAGTATGTAACAGTCACATTGAATAAAGAGAAATTTGGGGGTAGGGTGGGAAGGTGGGACAACAGAAAAAACTCAGGTTTTGTCTTTGGTTTTCTGTCTCAGAGCAGCTGTGTGGGGCTGGTCCTTTTTGTGCCCCAGGATGAAGTCTTGAGCAGGCCCAGTGTATTTGCTGATAATTCTCATAAAATCAAAAGTTCTCCAGTCATATTTCCTTCCCAGACAGTCTCAGTTTGGTATTAATATGTCTAGCCTCAAATAGACTGGTTTAAAGCGACAGCTTCTCCTGTCCCTAGCTCAGATTCTAGATTCACTTTTGTCAAATTCCACCCAAAGAAAACCTATTGGTAATTTTATTAGAATACATTGAAATTATAGATTAATTTACTCTTTAGAGGTGGTAAACTTATTTTCTTAGGTTCGTCATTTATATTTCTTTGCTATTGCAAATGCTGTGTTTTCAAAATTGTTTCCTATTTGTTGATGTTGTATCAAAGTGCAATAAATTTTCGTGTATTGATTTTATATTCAACAATTTTGAGGGATGTTCTTATTTAATAGTTTTTCAATGAATTTTTAATGTAGACACATCATCTGTGCAAAATGACTTTTCCCCCTTGTTTTCCATTTCTTTTTTCCTTTATTTTTCTATGCTGCCCTCCAGACAGAATTCGTAAATACAAGTGGTGATAATCGCCATTTTTTCTTATTTTTGATTTTAGAAGGGTTGCTTGTAATAGTTCACCATTAGCTAAAATGTTTGTAGTAAGTTTCTGCTTGATATCCTTTATCAGGTTCAGAAATTTCACTTTGGAGTTTGCAAAGAATTCTAATTGTGTGTTTGTGTAGAATTTTATCAAATACCTTTTCTGTATCTGAGATATTGTGAGTTGAATCTTACTGAGGGGTGTTAAGATGCATCCTATGGTATCTTCTAGGTAGAAAGTCATTGCCAAGTGGGCTGGGAGTGTCATTACACTTTGAAATATGATTTACGTAATGCTGATGCATTTTGTAAACATATAGCCTTTGTAGGGAAATATCATGTTGTTATGCTGTTATGCCTGAAAAATAAAACATAACTTTGTTTGTTTTTCTTTCCAGTATTACTTTACTGTTCTTTTTGGCCACGAAGGTCAGAAACCACTAGAGCTGCGCTGTGAGGAGGAGCAGGACGGTAAAGAGTGGATGGAGGCCATTCACCAAGCCAGGTATGGGCGCAAATCCTCTATGTGACACTGGATTGTCTGAGTCTTGCCTGGGGGTTTCACCATCAGCGGTAGTTTTGGATGAACTTGCAATTCCAAGATGGGTTTCCCCTTGGTTCCTCCTCCTTAGTCATGTGTGAGATGATTCTTTGCACTTCCTGTGGATATATTCTGGCTAAAGATTAAGGTAAAAGATAAAACAATAATAATGATAATTACTGAACGTAGGATTTGTGCCTCTGTGCCAGGCACTGTTCTAAGTTTTCCTGAATTAAGGAATTTGTTAAATGGTGTTTTTTTTGGCGGTACGCGGGCCTCTCACTGTTGCGGCCTCTCTCGTTGCGGAGCAACAGGCTCCGGACGGGCAGGCTCAGCGGTCATGGCTCATGGGCCTAGCTGCTCCGCCGCTTGGGCACGAACCCGTGTCCCCTGCATCGGCAGGCGGACTCTCAACCACTGCGCCACCAGGGAAGCCCTGTGCCTCAGCTTTATCCTCTGACAAATGAGGATGAAAATGTTAAATGTTTTGATTCACTTATACTCTCAACAGTCTGTGAGAGATGTATCAGAATTACCCTCTCTTGCACAGATAAGGAAACTGAGGCCTGGGAGCTTAGCTTGCTTGCCTGAGACCACACAGCTAGTGAGTGGCGGAGCTGGGATACGGACCCAGCTGAGCCTGCATTTGCAAACCTTGCCCTGTGCAGCCTGGTTATCGAGAAAGGGGACGCCAACCGCCATCTAGGCAAAGAGAAGAGTGTGCTTTGTCTTCCTCCTAAAAAATACCAGGAAGGTGGAAATAAGCACTCCTGGCCTCAAACGAGAATGAAGAATCCAAAAGAGATGCAGGCAGACCCCTCTTTTTTATTTTTCATATTCAGTTCCGAAGTCCTGTCCATTTTTGCTTTGAATGGCTCCCAAACTTGCTGCTTTTTGCCTGTCCCTGCCCTAACCCAGGCTCTCCTCACTCCATGACTCCCTGCTCGCATCCTCAGTGTTTCAGTGGCAAAACTCAGGCTTTTTCTTTGCCAGACATGCCTCCCCCACCTTCTCCTATAAGTCTATTCACGTCTGTCTCTGACACCCACTCCCAGACACTTGCCCCCCGCAAGCCAGTGCTCACTGGCCCCCCGCTCCAAGTGGCCTCAGCGCTTGCTTTACTGCATGTGGAATATTTAACAACTTAGTACAACGTAGGTTAATTTTTACATATTTCACGTGTGTGATTTCTGTTTCCTGGGCTGGACTGTATGTACCATGAGAGGAGGAGGGTGAGGACACATTCATTGCTGAGTGAAGCACAGTGCTAATTATGTAGTCATTAGGAAATGTTTTCAGATTGATTATAAAGCACGTAAGGTGTCTCGAGTTTAGGCTGTTCTTTGAGCCCTGGAGACTTTTTTCCTCTCCCCTCCTATCCTCTCCCCTCTTCTTTCTTCAGCTACTGTATATTGACCACCTTGCTCTGTGGCAAGCAGCATGCTAAATGCTTTACATACTTATCTTTCTTTTTTTATTCCTCACAACTACCCAGTAGGGTATTATTAATGCCGTTTTACAGATGAGAAAACGAAGATTCATGATGCTTAAGCAGAGTGGCCAAGTCTAACACAAAGTTGTTAAATGGCAGGACTGGGATCAAACTGAGGTCCCTCTGACTCCGGAACCTTTAACCAGTGTTCTATATTGTAACGTTCTTCATTATCATCTCTTCTTCTCTTCCATCTTTCCCTCTTCTGTTTCTTTTTCTCTTCCTCTAATTCAAAGATGAAAATGGATTAATGTCAGGTCAGGGTTGAGAGTAGGTGTTATTCGCAAAAGATTTCAGTTCCTTTTCTTTCCTCCCCTGCAAAATATTTCTCTGAGATGCACAGGGTCGGCGACCAAATGCTGCTCTCCAAGGTGGGCCCCGGTGCAACTTGCCACCATCATGATCCAGGCACACCGTTCAGCTGTCTTCACTCTCAGTGTCTCTGTCTGAGAGTTTTGCTCAGACTTAGGACTAATGCAGACTGACTCACTGTAGAAAGAAAAGTCAGGTCTTCAAAGGTGAAAGAAGTATCAAGTTGGCCACGTAGAGCCCTTGGGTTATTTCCAGACACAATCGTTGTGACCACTTCTATTCCTTTTTACCTGGGAGTTAAAAGGAAGTAAATAATTTAAAACACGTGTATTTGCCCATTTTTTTTTCTTTCCAGAAGAGCCAAGTACCATTAGTAGCCTAAATGCCTTTGTAGTTGCCAAGCAAATATTGTGGTGAACCCAATAGAGTATGAATTACTTTAAAATGGTAAAATTTCAAGTAAGGGGTTTTTTTGGTATACCAAGAAAACTTTGTCATGTATGTGGAAGTAGGTCAGTAGCAATTTGGTGTTGACTGATCAATCCAGGGCTTACATGATCTTGTCAGGAAACAAATGTTTTAGAAACCACTTTAGTGGTTTAGGTAATTGAATGGTAAAAATTCTCTTCTCTTTTAGATTTGAAGATTTGGTTAATAATTGATCTTTTTTCTTGAGGTCCTGACTTTTGGTACATTAGAATTGCTCTTCCTTTATCTTGAGGTCCAGGACTGGGTTATTTGATGACTTCCTTTTAATTTGACTGCCTTATACCTGAGTTCTTATATTTGACTTATTACATTGAGATGCTTCTTAAATTTTTTGTTTTCTAAATCACAGAAGATAATAACTTTTTCATTTATGTTTCATTGAGTCAAGTTTTCGGTATAAACTTGTTGGTCTGTGAAATTCATCCTGATTTTGTTCATATATTAGCAGAGCCAGAAAGTTAATGAAGCTCATACAGAGAAAGGATTTGTCAACTGTTTTTGCTTGGCATTGTGCTAATTAAACAACTGGTTGGTTGACTGAACATTTTACCTTTAGAGGACAGTCTGATGGCATTACTTTGGTATTACTGCCTTTTGAGTAGAAAATGCTCAGTAATTATGGGTTTATTGATCCCTCTTTTTAAGTCTGAACTTTTGATGAACTGATGACTGTTTTAGCTTGAGGCTAGTTCTTTTCTGAGCTGCAGATCCTACGTAGAAACAGGGACTGCTCAGAATCCTTCTCTTGGTCACTGCTCTTTTCCTGAGGTGTTTCTCAGTACTGGACTGGATGTTCTCTCTTTGGTGCCATGAAAATCACATTCTTGAGGCTGGCTTTTGTACCTCAGAGCCGAATTAACTTGCCCCTCTTTGCCTTCAGAGGACCTTTAAGTCATTTCCTGGCATGTCAAATTGCATGTTTTCTTCCTTAGATCTGGCCCAGGAAAACATCTTTTTGGAAATTAACATTCTTATTTTGAAGATTTGACCTGGTCTAGGAAGCTTTTTCTCCAGTTTTGCTCAAAGTTGGTTGATATTATATTTCTAGAAACTGGCACATTTAAAGTATCATTTCATCGTGTATTACTGGCACCGACCGGTTCATGGGAAGCTGCTAGCAAGGCTCAGTGTTGTTTTTGTCGGGATGAGGTGAGGCCAGAGTATTTTAATAGTAATGAAGTCCGTGCTTGTTCTATAAGTGGTTTGCTGGTTGGGTATGGAACTTTGGACATTTCCAGTAGCCTGATGTTTCTTTGTTCTCTTGCCATATCTGTCCATCATGGTTGATTTAGTTGTAGACATTAGGACAGTCAAAAACACTGACCCAGTTGATTGTGGGTCTTTAGGACTCATTGGCTGACAAGACAATGTCCACAGCTCTTTTACCCACGTTTTGTCTTCTGGAGCCCTGATCAAACGAAGCCTTGGAAGTTAGAAGGTAGACATGGCCTGGAAGAGGATCCAGATATACAAGAGGTACCAAGGATCTTCTCATTCTGGCCTAAGCATAAGACCTGAAGGACCTGGTCTGTGACAGTTGGGAAGAGAGGTAGGTGGAAAGTATTCCAGAGTTGTAGGGGGTAGACTTCAAAGGACCTTGTGACCACCTGGATGTGGGCCATATTAGACCAGGGTGGTGTCTAACGTGTCTCTCAGGTCCCTAGCTTGGATGGTGTCACTCCCTGGGAGGACATGTGATGAATGAGAGCAGGTCTGTGGGGCAGGGCGACGAGCCCTGGCCAGGAAGGGCTTCTGCAGGGAATTGGAGGGTATGACTGCCTGGAAGGGGCAATGGGGAACTGTGCAATACTGATGGGTCTTCTTGCCCCTTGGTATGTCAGGTATGGGAGAATGAGTAACAGGGGCTGCTAGAGAAGTTAGGTGTGTCCTGAGGGGAGAGCTGGCTCGGGGTTTCTACCAAGACTGAGGTCAGGGGAGGGCTTGTGAAACATTGGAGTCATGGGGAATGTGGTGCCTGGTGTTGCACACCATGGGGTGTATGTGGCTTTGCTCACCTGCAGAGCTATGCCTCATGCTCTCAGTGTTTGAGATGTTTTGCCTGCTTTCCAACGTTTCCAACTGAAACTCAGAGCCCTCCCTCAATGCTCTCTCCTCCCTTTGGTGTGTGCCTGTGGGAGGTGGCTCTTAGGGTTTCCTTCATGGGGAGCATATTTGCAAGAGAGAAAGGAATCGGGCATATGCCTCCATTCCATAAAACTCATGTTGCATTTAGTTTGGCTAGGGCTTGACGTAGCCATTTCCTTCACCCTGTCAGTTCTGAACTTGATGAGCAGAGAGACTTAATCCTCCAATTAAGATTTTCAATTAAGGCTTGTCCTCTTGTCCACTAAAGAAAGCTCTAATCCAGCCTCTTGGGTCTGTTTTTATCTACAGTCCTTTTGATTACACGTGCCTCAGGTGACCTGTTGTCCATATTGCCCCTTCTTTCTCTCTCAATCTCTTCACCCCTCCCTCCGACACACACACACACACACACACACACACACACACACACACACACACACACCATGGTAATTGTCCCAAACACCTAATGCTTGTAACCTCATTCTTTTTACTTGGATAGAGGCTTAATTTAGAGCAAAGTATATAATACAAAATCTGTCCAACACTGAGGGATACACTGTGTGTATCCTATCATCCCCATAAAATC